CAAACACTTGGAAGGTAATAAAGTGATAGGGAATAGCCAGCATGGGTTTGTGAAGAACAAGTCATGCCAAACTAATCTGATAGCTTTCTTTGATAGGATAACGAGCCTTGTGGATAAGGGAGAAGCGGTGGATGTCATATACCTAGACTTTAGTAAGGCATTTGATACGGTCTCGCATGATATTCTTATTGATAAACTAGGCAAATATAACTTAGATAGGGCCACGATAAGGTGGGTGCATAATTGGCTGGATAACCGTAGTCAGAGAGTTGTTGTTAACGGTTCTAAATCCTGCTGGAAAGGGATAACAAGTGGAGTTCCTCAAGGGTCTGTTTTGGGACCCGTACTGTTCAATATCTTCATCAATGATGTAGATATTGGGATAGAGAGTACTCTTATTAAGTTTGCAGATGATACCAAACTGGGTGGGGTTGCAACTTCTTTGGAGGATAGGGACATAATTCAAAATGACCTTAGCAAGTTAGAGAAATGGTCAGAGGTAAACAGGATGAGGTTTAATAAGGAGAAATGCAGAGTGCTCCACTTAGGAAGGAACAATCAGTTCCATACATACAAGATGGGAAGCGACTGTCTAGGAAGGAGCATGGCGGAAAGGGATCTAGGGGTCATAGTGGACCACAAGTTGAATATGAGTCAACAGTGTGATGCTGTTGCCAAAAAAGCAAATATGATTCTAGGTTGTATCAACAGGTGTGTTGTAAGCAAAACTCGTGAAGTCATTCTGCCGCTCTACTCTGCGCTAGTTAGGCCTCAGCTGGAGTACTGTGTCCAGTTCTGGGCGCCACATTTCAAGAAAGATGTGGAGAAATTGGAAAGGGTACAGAGAAGAGCGACAAGAATGATTAAAGGTCTAGAGAAGCCTATGAAGCCAGGCTTCATGAACTGGGCTTGTTTAGTTTGGAAAAACGAAGATTAAGGGGGGACATGATAGTGGTTTTCAAATATCTAAAAGGGTGTCACAAGGAGGAAGGAGAAAATTTGTTTCTCTTGGTTTCTGAGGACAGGACAAGGAGTAATGGGCTTAAAGTGCAGCAGGGGAGGTTTAGATTGGACATTAGGAAAAAATTCCTAACTGTCAGGGTGGTCAAATATTGGAATAAATTGCCAAGGGAGGTGGTGGAATCTCCCTCTCTGGAGATATTTAAGAACAGGTTAGATAGACATCTGTCAGGGATGGTGTAGACGGAGCTTGATCCTGCCTTGAGGGCGGGGGGCTGGACTCGATGACCTCTTGAGGTCCCTTCCAGTCCTATTATTCTATGATTCTATGAACTGGGAAGTGACTGCTTAGTAAGAGTGCAATGGAAAAGGATCTGGCTATCAGAGTGGATCACAAGCTAAATGTATATCACCAACATAACTGTTGCAAAAAGAAAAAATCCCAAATATTATTCCGGGATGTATTAGCAGGAGTGCTGTAAGCATTACACAAGAAGTAATTCTTCTATTCGACTCCATGCTGATTAGGCCTCAGCTGGAGTCTTGTGTTCAGTTCTGGGCACCTAGGGTTGCCAGACGGTTGAAACAAAAATACCGAACATCTCCCCCTCCCCCCCCCCCGAAAAAAAAAACACACAGGGTTGAAGGGAAAAAAGGGGGGTGGGGAGACCGAAGCTGTGGAGCAAAATAGGGACTCCAAGGACTTAAGCCAAAATAAATAATTAAATAAATAAAAAACAGCATTAAAACCGCATAGCCCCTTTCAGAGTGCCTGCCAAGTCAGAATAGAGATAGGAACAGGGGAACGGTTGAGCACTAAGACCCAGAGGAGGCATTGCTTCCCAGCATGGGGGCTGGCATCGGGGGCTGGGCGTATTGGGGTCAGGGAGGGCTCAGGTGTGGGGAGGAGGCCAGGCACTGAGTGTTTGTAGGGTTGCCAGGTGCCTGGCATTTTCATCTCCTGGCCGGGGAAAAAGATGTCCTGGCCAATATCTTAGGTGTCTGGTATTCTCTGAATTTTTTTTTACCGGACAGGAGCCGAAAATATGGGACTGTCCAGGTGAATACCGGACACCTGGCAACCCTATGGGCACCACATTTCAAGAAAGAACTGGAGAAAGCCCGAAGAAGAGCAGCAAAAATGATTAAAAGTCTAGAAAGGGAAGACTGAAAACAAAAGCCAGATTTGCTTAGTCTGGAGAAGAGACCACTGAGAGGGCACGTGGTAGCTATTTTCAAGTACATCAAAGGTTTTAAAATTGTCCTTGTTAATCTCTGAAGGATAGGACAAAAAGCAATGGGTTTAAATCACATCAAGGGAGGTTTAGTTTGGACATTTGGAAAAACTTGGTGTCAGTGGGATTAGGTACTGCAATAAATTTGCCTGGGGAGGCTGTGGCAAATTTAATTAATAAAAAAAAATAATTGCAGATTTTTAAGATTGGGTTGGACCAGTTCCCATCAGGGATGGTTTACATGGTGATGCCTACACTGCTGGGAATCACATTATAAATATTTTAATTTAGAAAGCTATCGTGCGGCAAGAAAATACACCAATCATTTTCTTCTTTGTACCCAAATTCTATTTCATATTTGCATTGCTGCAAAAATAATCTATTTATTCTCAAATTGTGTACACCTCCAAATTTTGTAACATCGCCTTTCAAATAGGAAGTCCGCAAACCTACAGAGGCTTTGGAAGTGGTGTCACAAGGTTTTTCCTAGAAGCACCTTCACGCCTGATTATTTAGTAACGTGGGCGAGTTCAGCTCCTTCATAAATCCTGATCTACTGCTGAATGCCTGCTGGGCATATTCTTATTTTGGTACGCAAGACTCAGTGCCAGATCAGAAACTCTCTAAATTGGATCCTTAGGGCATGAAAATTTGCTACTGTAAATTTTACCAGTTGTCTTTTAAGTTTCTCTTTTAGAAGTAAACTTTTCTAACAGGAAAAACTGGTTCTAAGCTTTTGGAAAGAAGGCAAGTTCACTCCTAAGAAGTCATATTTTGAAAATATAAATAAATTAAAGTTAATTTTCCCATCTCTCAAACAGACCCTTGTGTAATACCGAAGAACAGTTGTAGGTCAAAAAATATTGGATAATTTTTTATTCTTGAACAAACTTAAGAAAGACCAAAAACTAAATTCGATTCTTTCAGTGTTGGAAGTCCAAATCTAGATCAAAAGTTGATGTTCGCAAATGGCCCTTGCACTTAAATTCACTCTATTTTAACAGGAGTTGTTTAACTGATCTGAATGGAATCTTCTCGATTTATGCCATTGAGAGAGAAGAATTAGGGCTACATTTGCAGTTTAAGCCCATCTTTTGTTCATAAGTTTTCTAACTGAAAGCACGGAGAATGCAACTCACTTTCTCCAAGTTGCACAGTGAAACAGGAGAGAATGGGAGACCATCAGGTTAACCTTTTTTCTTTCTTGCAATATTGTGCATGTTTCTATGTTTCTAGGGATTTATCCAGACATGGAAGTAAAATCTAGACAAAACAAGAGTATTTCTGTAGCCTTGCTCAGCCATAAACCACCAAGTTCTGAAACATCTCATGGAATAAACTGCTCTTGTGAATTGTACCAGATGGTTCCTTAAGCAAAATATTCCAAATCAGCTGAGCTGTGCATCTGAACTTCTGAAGTTCACTCAACATATCTTAATCTCATCTTTTTTTTTTCCAGGAACATATTTTACTGAGCATCAAGCACACATTTTGTAGTTCAATATATGACTTTGATCCCATGGTCCATAGTATAGCAAACAGAGGAAAAAACATACACAATCCTTTTGATAATTATTCATACATGACACAAAGGATTTTTGCAAAGTCCTTTCCACTTTCTAGCAATGTTTTACTTCATAATGGAATAGCCAATGAGATTTTTCCTGATTCAACTAACAGCATCTAAACTTCAGAGTTAGTCTGTAGCTGGAAAAACTTTAAAAACAACAAAGAGTCTAGCAGCCCCTTAAAGATTAGCACAACACGTAGATGGTATCATGAACTTTTGTGGGTTTCACCCCTTTCTTCAGATGAATGGAGCATCTACACTGGTTTCATTACAGTATCCTCCAACTTTTAAAGGCACAGCAGATATATTCAAGCAGTTAGCTTCAGAAACAGCAACTCTGAAGGCTGGAATCTAACTTTATAGAACTCTGTACACTCAAGGCTGTGTCTAAAATACAGGAATAACCTTTATAGTTACTGCACCTCAGACATATCCAGTTCTTCCTATACCAGGAACTCATTACTTCCCCTTCCCAGGGCTGAGGCAAGATTCCTAAGCCTTAAGGAAAGCTGACACCTGGTGCCCAGAAGAAGTCAGCCCTAGGGAGGAAGGGATAGGCTTCAGGAGGAAGGGGCGGGTCCTCAGGGCTAGTCTCCCCATCCAGCCCTTCAGTGTCACTGGGTGCTCTGGCAGCAATTTAAAGGGCCCAGGGCTCCAGTTGCTGCCATGGCTGAAGTAGCCGTGGAGGCAGGCAGGAGCTCCAGGCCTGTTAAAATTGCCGGGCCCTAGGACAACAGACTCCTTTGCCCTCCATTGTCAGTGACCCCATCCTTTCCCCCACTCCATCCCATGCTCAGCTGCTATGGCCAGCAAGTGCAAGAGAGGCAGATGTCCAAGACTCTATTCATTGCCTGACCACCTCCTCCATGCAGGGTGTATGCAGTCCGGTTGCATACACATATCCCAACATAACCCAATTCCCAATCCCACTGTGCACAGAAGCATAAGGAAGACTCTCACATCCTCAAACGTTCATGTAGCCTGAAGCACAATCTAGCCCTCAGTGCTTAATGCAACGTGCCACAGAGACTCCATATCTAACAAACATCCTGTATTGGGAGTCCCCACTCTCACCGCTAAACCGTTCTGCTTGCTAATCTAGTCCAAAGTGGAACTTGCTAAACCAAAGAACATACAGTTTGCCCAACCCCCGAACTAAACATCAGGAGGCCAAGTCTGCCCGGAATGTGCCAATTTCACAGTAACAACTGAAGTGGAAAGAAACTCAGACATACCCAGATGCTGTCTTCTTGTCTGTACTGCTTCCAGTTGTGTCCTGTATCGCTGAACATTAGCATGTAGCTTGTTACATAGTCAGAGCTTCCATACCTCCCTTGGGTGGCAACTGCCGTTATCTCAACTCTGTCTCCCAGATCAATCTGAAGCCACTGTTGTGGATTAGATTCCAACGGGGACCAGCCACCAGCTCCTAGAAGAGATCAGAGAAATGTGGCACAGCAGTTCAACATTGGCACCAAAATAGTCCTTTATAAAAAATACTCATTTATCTTATTTTAGTTTATTTCAGGCATTCCCCAACTTTACTGAAATGTAAGTTAGGTGTACAATTCTTTTGAAATATACGATGTTTGGCAAATTTAATTGCTCACAGGTTTAAGGGCTTTGGTTGCTTATTTAAACTGAATGAAAGTTCCACATTAATTAAGGAAATTCCTGGGAAAACTGCTTTCTGTCAACCGGCGACAGTAACCAATCATCATCATTTAATAACACAAACAACATAAAAATGCATTTCTTACTTCAACATATATTTGTACAAATTCTGGGGCACAGTTTTATAGTTCCTGTTTTGTTTTAATATTCTCTTCTCTTTTCTAGCAAGATTTGAAAAATGTACAGGAGAGGTAGCTATTGTGATTTCTATCGGATGTAGAATTCTTGATTGCATTCGTTAATTGCATGTTGTAAATGTACTACAAATAGTACATTGTAAAAGTAAAGATATCTTGATATAAAGTCCACCAGTAAGAGTGCCTTCTCAAAGAACAAGACACTGCCCCAGTGCATAATATACTACAGTACTGGGGTTTTTTATATTTTTTAAAAAAACTACCATAACTTTTGTAAAGTATTGATGTTTTACAAAGAGATGTGGTTGTGTAAAAATGCAAGGATGGTCTTTATCTGGGATATTTCAAAAAGGATTGATGGGAATGGATGTGTTTGCAAAGCTATAAACAGAATTGTAAAAATTGGACTTTTTACCCATCATCATGGGGCAAGGAAAAATGTTCGGTTCAAATGCTCCTCCTTCCCCTAATACACTTACTGGAATGGATTTCTTTATCAACGCTGAATTACCTACATTCTTTAAACTTTAATGCATGCGTTTATGGTAGATAATATTTTACAGGCAATATTGGTTGTTTCTAACTCGTACTTACTCCTAAAGGTAAAAGCCTTTGCTGTCCCTTGGATCCTCAAGTTGGTACAAGCAGGGTCGCATTATGACTTTCGTGGGCCCTAGGCACTTTTGCCTTCGTGGGGGCCCTCCTACCATAATAATATCAATATTAAGAATTACTTTTATATAACTTTAAATACTTCAACTTTTTTTCTGTTTTAGGCAAAATTTAATAGGATTTTCATGGGCCCTAAAAGTTTCATTTTTTTCTGATGTGAGAACAAAATTAAAACATTTTCTTCGACCCTAAAAGTTCTTTTTTTTTCTTCTGATTTTAAAAGAAAACAAAACATTTTCATGGGCCTCTAAAAGTATCATGGGCCCTAGGCACAGCGTGTACTGTGACTAACGGATAAGTCGGCCCTGGGTACCAGCTTCCATTAACACGCTCATTCGCAAATATTTGGTATCTAAACGCAAGCACTTTATACCACATCCTGATACCACTTGTATACGAACGATAGTATGTTTTAGGTTAAAAAAAAAAAAAAAAAGGACTTTTGATGCGGTCACTGACGACTAATGAAGAAGTACATTGAGTATCACAATATTGATATTATTTTGGGAATTGATTTGATTCTGCCAATGCGTAAGCAAGAATCTTGAAAGACAAGAAGAACCTCTGCAAGGATAGAAAAAAGAAAAGATGACATCTTCTTTGAGGACTATTTAAATAAAGACTCTTAAATCATCATTTACATTTTACAAAGGATGATTTTAAGAGCGGAAAGACTTTCATATGGGCATGAAGAATGTTTGGACACAACTGAAACCGAATTTCAGCTCCTATTAAATGCTCATGGAACTAAAGGGGCACCTTAGGAAAATGGACAGAACAAGAAGAGTGAAAGCTAATTTTGAAGACACTCCAAAGATTTTCTGCCATGCAGACAAGAGCACTACAGACATATGAAGGATGATTACAATCCTGCTCCATACGTGTTAGCACATTGCTCAATCAGAAGCTCAAAGTGTTACCAGGACCATCCCATGAAGATAGGAGGCCCATAAAAAGGCTGGTATCAAAATTCGGCCTTCCTTCTTTCCCTTCCAGTGAGTATATGGAAAAAAAGTGACTAGATTCCTTATGTTTATCCGCTTTCCTGATTGCTCTTATTACACACTTACACCCGTAGCACTCAGCCCAGCTCTGCCTGCCGGTCTCTTCCTCACAAGCAGCAACCAGAAAGCTACAAATGAAGAGGCTACTGCATGAGGAAGCAGTGATCTTCCAACCCAGCACATCTTCTGGGATGAAAAACTCCACAAGGCGTTGGCATCGCTGACCAGATGGGCATGTGTAAGGCAGCATCCGAAAGAGCCATCCCTCAGCTCTGGCCGGTCATTCTATTCTGACCCATGCAATCCAGAACCCTGCTTCCAAAATGGCCTCCACAGCTACACCCTCACTCACATCATGACAACAGTAGCTGTTCCTCACAGCACCCTCGGAGCCACCCCAGGAAGCATAAGTGCCTCAGGCAAGGAATTCCTCACAGCTTCCTCCTCCTTCCAGGCAGGTGGTAATCTACGGTGGGCATGTAGCAATAGCAAAATGAGGACACCCCTGGATTAGGGGCAGACCCAAAGCATGTCCCCACCTCGCCCCATTCACCCGCTCCAGTGAAAGAATAGGCAGGCTCAAACCATCTACATCCTCCTCCATAGCTGTACTCAAGGGCTAGGCAGCCCGAAGCTACACCAGGTGGTGCAGTGGCTGCTAAGGTAAATATATTCACTCTTCCTGATCGCATCTACATATGGGAGCAGCTTGAAAATAGACTTTCAAGCCCTGCCAAAAAAGCGTGGCATGTATATTTCCATTCCCCACATGATTCCCTGGGGATTTTCCCCCAACCCCGCCGCCGGTTTAAATATATAGTTAATATGCACATTTGGAGGGTGACACTTCCTATTCTGCCATCTGGGTTGCCACTCTCTTGTGATATGTACACTCCAGGGAACATATGCCAGCAGTTAGGCACAAGAAAACTGAAGTTGACTTTACGGCACGCGCTGGAAGGTGGGGGATGAAATATGAAGGGAGGGGGTTAAAACACCACAGCCAACTGTGCTTCAGGCATGGTTAGATGAATCTCTTTTATTAACAGCGCTGGGTAATTATAAAACAGACAGAATGTGGCATTTATTACGCCTGGTCTATTTAGACATTCTTTAATGGCATGCTCTCAAGTGGTAAAATATGCATGAGATCATCACATCTCCCATATTAAAATTAGAAGGATGAGATGATTAATGAATTTTCCAGGGGCTTAGCCATTTGCAGCATCACAATCAAGAGGGATAGTCTTCCTGCCCAGCTGTCATTGGCTTGGATGCAAGTTCTGGGCACATGTCGGAAGAAAGAGGAAATCCCCACCTGTCCAAGTTTTCTGCATAGCTCTGGCATTATTCTCTACTGTTCAATAAGCTGGAGGTTTGGCAGACAGGTATGGGCGAAAGGGTCTCTGGCAGCATGAGAAGCCTGATACATAAGTGCATGTTCTCCATGGCAACAAATTATAATGCTAGAGACATACAAGCTGCAAGATCATTCCAAGGCTGGCGGCCCAAAAATAAACTGAAAAGAACACACCCAGCAACATGAACAAATTGTTGTGAAAATGGCACTTTGCACCCCTCGTCTTCTGCAATCTATTTATGATGATGATGATCGTTAGTGCTGCTTAGGATGCCTGCAGGACTTAGGGTGTTATTAATGTGAAACAACACAAATGCTTGCCCACCTCTTTGAACAACTCTGTGGGCTTCATATTGTGCTACCGACTCTTGGACTTCCCGCTGAAAATAAGTGCTTCCCTGCCGCAGTGTCTTACTTTAATGCCCAGATCAAAACACTCTCTCGCCAGAAAACAAAAATCATATGCAACAGAGAAAGACAGATTCCTTCTAAGCCACAATTATCTACATGGAGTGCTCAGGCGGAGAGTTGATGGGGAAATCGAAGGAAACCTCATCTTATTATAGCAATTAGTCCTTTTTCATTTATTTATTTGCGTGCAGCCAACAACAATAAAAAAATCAATTTGAGAAATCCCTTCCAAAGATCAGATTTACCAGAATGAGGAGAACGAGAAGGAGATTGACTGCATTAATAGATCCAACATACAGTTAGCCGGATTTGGAATGAGACCTTTCACTCATTTTAACACTTGGATGGAGCCCCATTACAAAAAACCTCATTTGATCCAGAGAGTTTTACTATAACATTTCAGTCCTGCGCATCTTTCTAACAAAAGCCTTTCATTATTTATTCAACAGCCTTCAATGCATTGTCGTCTATTACAGCACCGAGTTGACAATTTTACAAGCTTGCTGCTAATGTAGATTTGGGTGATATTTTGTCTCCATATGTTGCATGCCTCTTTGTATTAAAATATATCAATCAGGTTGCAGCTAGAGACACGTGCCTATTGAGACACTGTTCCTTGCTACTTTGAGTACCAGTAGCTTATTCTGAAATTCCTGGTATATGGTTATTTTTATACAAATGATAATGAGGTAGTTATACAAAGAGCAGAAGAATATTTTTAAATAACTATATGCTTCTTGAAAACTTTAGAAACTGAACGCCTGTGGATTTTTCTACAGATCATGTCAGAAGCTAAAATAGGAAAAGAACCAGTTAAATATTCCTTAGACAAGTTAGAGGTCTTCAAGGTACTAGGAGCTGACTGTGGCAATTTTTGAGCCATGAAAAGTCATGGAGTATGGGAGAGATTCCAGAAGGAACAAAACAGCTATAACATCCCTGAGCAAGCCTATTGTGCTACTTTGAATACCACAGGGCTGTCCTTGAGATTTATGGAGCCCTACACATTGCTGTTAAACTGGAGCCCTCTATGTCTGCCAAAGAGAACCTTTTTTTAAGAGCTGTGATTTTTATAATCTTCAGCACTGTACTAATGAAATCATTTAAAATCAAATTGTAAACTAAGGTCCTGAAGACTCCTAACACTCCTACTGATGGGATAGATCTGGTGTTAGCAAATGCCTGTTAAATGGTCTCACAGCCACTTGAATGGACTTTCACGGGATCAATGTTCTGCTAGTTGTTCTGACGGGCTTTGTCACTTAAGTTAACTAGATCCTCTCCAGAGGAATCAGAGCCCCAGGACAGGGGCAGGAAGAGGCGGGTGGGTGGACATTAAGACCCAGTGGTGCCCCAAATTTTCAGGTGCCCTGTGCAATTGTGTATAGGAAAGATTGGCTCTGGGTTTGTTATCCCAGGAGAGAAGAAGCTTCCTTCCCTTGATTGAAGGGGTGGGAATGGGAGTAACAGTAAATTGCCAGCAGAGGTAGAACAACAGAACAAGTGACTCCTGCAGGAGGAGATAAAAGGATTTTTTGGGGATGGTGGTGGGAGAGCCATTTTGCATCAGGTTAAGACAAGAAAGGCTGCTGCAGAGGTAGTGTAAGCAAAAGTAGAGATGACACTAAGCAAAAGTGTAGCTTCCTCCTGAAAAAAAAAACGGCCCCTCCCAAGAAAAGGGGGACCCGGAGGGGAGATAAATTTTAGAATCAGAATCATCAGGCCTTTTGCATGGAGTTTGGAGGAGGCGTGTGATTAAGTGTTGGGGAGCTTGAAAAGTCAGTGCTGTACCCAACGGGGCAAGGTAGAAGGAAAACACGTTCAACTAAAGATTTCATCACTTGGGAGTTGCCCTATAAAAGGTCTGTCAGTTTACTGAGCTCTTTTCTCAACCTTTGGTATGATGGAGGTCAAGGTCGAAGATCAGGAAAAAATTCCTAGCTGTCAGGGTGGTTAAACACCGGAATAGATTGTCCAGGGAGGCTGTGAAATCTCCATCACAGGAGATTTTTAAGAGCAGGTTAGAGCATTAGACAAACTCCTGTCAAGGATGCTCTACATACTACTTAGTCCTGCCATGAGTGCAGGGGACAAGAATAAAAGAGTTTGTGAGCTCACTTCCAGTTCTATGATTGTTTGGTCTAGAGTAGAAATTTCAGGCTTGACATTTTTAAAAACCAAACCAAACCTTATTTCTTTTGTATAAGCATCTCGTGAGTGTAGAAACAATGAATAATCCTGCAGCACTTTAAGAGACTAAGTAAAAATATAGATGGTATCATGAGCTTTCGTGGACACAACCCACTTCTTCAGATGAATGGAGCAAGGGGGCCGGGGGCACAAATAAATGGTAGAAACAGTGGGGAGATGGTGTGGGGGGGGGGGAACCCCTGAATCATGCAATCTCCTGACTAATGAAACTAAGTATCTCCCTGAAAACTGAAACCAAGACCAAATCTACCTGCTTCAATCTAAGCACAGTCCACAGCAGGGGGAAATGACATCCCCAAAATGTGACTTGTGGCAATGCTAACCCATGAAGCAAATATGAACAGGGAGACCCGTAGAAGATTACTGTTTTGGGTTAATCACAGAGGTAGCCTGCTGGTGGTATCTAAATTAGCTGGTATCAAGAAAGAGAACTTGGAGTCACTGAGCGTAGTTCTCTTAAAACATCCACTCAACGTGCAGCAGCCATCAAAAAAGCAAACAATGTTGGAAAGCATTAGGAAGGGGAAAGATAAGTCAGAAAATACCATATTGCCTCTATTTAAATCTATGATACACCCACATCTTGACTACTTTGTGCAGCTCTCAATACACCTTCAAAAATATCAATAGGCAGCTTTTGGAAAAGGGCAAGAAAATGAGTAGGGGTATGAACAGCTTCCAAAGAGAGAGAGATTAATATGACTGGGACTTTACAGCCTGGAAAAGAGAGGACAATAGGAGATAGGCGTGAGTTCTATAAAATCATGACAGGTGTGGGGAAATTAATTAAATCAAAGTTATTTATTCCTTCTCATTAACACAAGAACTTGGGTTCACCAAATGCAATTAATAGGCAGCAGGTTTAAAACAAACAACAGGAATAAACAGTCAGCTTGTGGAACTCTGCCCCTGAGGGTGTTGTGAAAGCCAAGATTATAACAGGGTGCAAGAAAGAGCTAGATAAATTCATGGAGAAGAGGTCCATCAATGGCTGTTTCCCTGGATGGGCAGGGATTGTGTCCCTAGTCTCAGCTGGCCAGAAGCTGGGCATGGAAAACAGCGGATAGATCACTTGGTCCATAAAAAGCCAGGGGATAAAATGGTGTCCTTGGCCTCTGTTTGTCAGAGGCTGGAGAGGGATGGCAGGAGACAAATCGCTTGATCATTGTCTTCGGTCCACCCCCTCCAGGGCACCTGGTGCTGGCCACTGTGGGCAGACAGGATACTGGGCTAGATGGACCTTTGGTCTGACCCAGTATGGCCGTTCTTATGATGATTCCCTACTCTGTTCATTCCGTCTTTTGAAGCACCTGGCAGAAGACAGATAACTGGGCTAGACGGACCATTGGTCTGACCCCATATGGTCATTCTTATGTTCCCTGCTAAGCTAGAGTTTGACCTTTTTGAAGTCCCACTGTAAACCCACTAGCCATACCTCAGACAATCCTCACTTCACTTCAGCTCTCCTCTGAGAAGCACAGAAAGGGAGGGTGTCCCCGAGGGTATGTCTACACTACAAAGTTAATTCGAACTAACAGCCGTTAGTTTGAATTAACTTTGATAGGCGCTACACAGGCAAACTGCTAGTTCGAACTTAATTCGAACTAAGGGGAGGCTAGCCCTCCCCCGCTTTCCCTGGTGGCCACTCTGGGCACCACCAGGGAAACTTGTCTGCCCCCCTCCCGGCTCCGGAGCCCTTAAAGGGGCACGGGCTGGCTACGGTGCCCGTGCCCGGTGCAAGCCTGCCAGCACCCAGCCAGCAGACCCTGCACCTGGCACGGCACAAGCCAGCTACCAGCTGCCACCCAGCCCTCTGCCTCTTCCCGGGACCAGGCTGGCACCTCCCAGGAGCCTGCCTAGGTCCGCAAGAGGCGGGCGCCTGCCTGGTCTAGTGTGGAGATCGTGGACCTCATCCAGGCTACTTCTTCCTGGGACTGTAGGACCTACAACAGACATTAAAAGTGACTAAAGGAGTCTACTTCATCTCCCACTTAGCTGGCTGTAAGCAACAGTGGCTTTTTCCACACAGTCATGAGCTATTTTCAACTAACGCCATCTGAGTGGCACAAAGAGATGATTCAAGTCAGTTAGGCAGACGCTGAACCCTCCACAGGCTTCTACCCCAGAATGAATTATTCACTAAAACTGTAATAAAAAACTGTCATGGGCATTTCACACAGTGACCTTACCATCTCTTCTGTTGAGCTTGGCGAAGGTGGGACCGTGAATGCTGAAGAGCTGTGAGGAGCTGTCAAAGGCTGTCGGCGGCAAGGAGGATACTAGTGCATCATCACAATTATCTAAGAAACAAGAGAGAAATAAAGAGGATGTCAAATAAAAAGTGGGAAGCATTTGGCTCCGTGGGACTGTTTGGGGGAAAAAAACACACTCAAACCTACGTGATCTTTAAAACTATTAACACTCTATTAAGCTGACATTTTGAGTGGGTCTGTGTGTGGTAAACCGATTGTCAGAGAAGGTTCTAGAGAAATATCAGAACAGGCAGTTTCTTAAGTTAGCAAAATAACAGAGACAACCAAATACCCAGTCTTTCATTGTCATGACTAATCTCTACTTATGGTAGCCCCAACTGGAGACATCTAAGGACTGATTTCCAGAGATGTTGACTTTGCCCCCAACTCTTAACTAGAGTCAATGGAAGCAGCAATTGCTTAGCACCTCTGACAGTTAAGCCTTCCATATGTCCAGTTGGGACCACCAAAAATTATGCACAACTCTTGAATGTTTGTGCTCCTCTACCTACTTTTCTTTGGATGACTACAAGCTAGCAAGGGAGGAAGAGGGGTTGATTTGCCTAGGGAATAACCACTTTTCAAACAAACCGTTCCAATTTTATAGTAGATTTTGAAGATATATAAGCCCAGAAGTGATTCATTGGATGGAAGGGGAAGTCTTAAGGAAACACCTTCAGGTTCTGTTGAACTATTGTAGAGTACGTGGACATATTTGTCAGAATTTTAGGACAATTTTAGTCCATCAATAATTCCAAGTCAAACTGATCTTACCCTCACTCTGTGTGTGTAGAATTCCACAGTTCCCATAGAAGACTGGAGCAATGCCCCCCAACAATCCCTGAGCCCACACAGACAGGAAGTGCTTGGAATGTGGGAGTGGAAGTGATATCGTCTTACCTCCGTGCTAAATTACAAATAGAGGGATGCATGACAGCAGGGGGAGAGGATTATGTTGTACCTAAAGAGAATCCTGCACTGCTTAATGAGGCTGGAAGACCTCCTCAGTCTCCAACCCAAAGAGGTAGATGCAGCAGACCAACATTGACCCTCCCACATACACTTGAGCTAACTTATTTCCTCTCTGCTCCTTATTTCACCGTCTCTCCAGAACAGAACTTGAACCCCATAACCTGCTATGCAGCAGCTGAACTTTGAAGCCCACAGTGTTTGAATAAGGGTGAAGTCAGTCAAAGCAAATTTTTTCACAGCTGACTGTTGAATACACATCCAAGGTTATAGCACAAGCTTTCATTATGGGTACAAAACTATTCATTTTAACAGAATCGCCCAGGGAGGAAACAGGGGTTAATTACTGGAGAAGTCCTGCGGGTTAGCAAGATCTCAGATGCCACGAGTACTATCCCTAATATAAATGCAATTATAGGAAAAAAATGTCTGAATGACACATTAAGGTTACAGAACTCAAGATGCAATAAAACCCAAATGATTTGACAGTCATGTTAACTCAGTCACATTGGCAAGTAAGGGCCGGATACAAAGCTGAGTGAAGTCACTGGATTCCTTTTTGTGCCGCTAAGCTGCCAACCAGCATTTAGGGGTAGAGCAGGCCATTTATGGTCAAACTCCTTCCCTGAGCTCCTGAGGACACAAGAGGGGGGAGCCGCATTCCCGTTTCCAGGGTGAAGCTACCGGCTTGTAGCAGCACAGATTTATGGACTGGCTTGCAGGCCGCAGTCCCATCCTTCCTCCTCCTGACTAATTTATACATAAAGGCTCAAGGGAAGAGCCATTCTTGGGGCCCCAAAGGCCTGGCCAGCTCTTTTGGATACCCACACAGGCGGGCAACTCGGCACACAGGACAGATTACCTCCTATGTATATGCACACAAGTGTCAGACACAATCAGATCCTTCCGATTTGGACTACCAAGCAGACTTCCACGTAACCCTAAAATTAACCACCTTGCAGACAGAGAATATTACATTAAAGTTACGAGCACAAATATTCATTTAAAGTGCATAGGCATGCCAGTACACCTCTCCCCCAATCATTTATCCAAAGTACAAAATTTTAAATGGTTGTACAAAATGTCCCCTAATCACAAGGGAAGACAAATAGAGAATTGCAGATCATAAGCAGAAACACACTATTACATCCTGCTCTGAGTTACAATGGTGTAAATCAGGAAGAATCTCACTGGCACAATGAAGTTAGACTAGCAGAACTAAGAGCAGAACTTGTCCCACTGCTAGAAAGGCCTTTGATAAGATTCAAATACTCATTATATGTAGCATGCAAAATGTATTGCTGAAACCCATAACATGAGAAGAAAGCAAGTCAATTCACCAGCAGCAAAGCACTTGATCACGCTTGCTAATCTTCCACAAAGCATCTAAGATGATAAACAGGGTGTAGGTTTCATGATGGGATTAAAAAGGCTTATGTTCATGACTTCATTACAGAATCACACATGCCGTTTTGTGTTCCTGTTCTGGGCCCTGATCTAGAAGCTTGTGTAAAGACTGAAAAAAATCAAGTCATCAGTCTCAAGATGTATTCAGTATTGTTGAAGTGCCACGGCATTAATTTCCATGCTCAGGAGAATGACAAGTATTAATGCGGGTCTCAATCAAGATCTATACAAATTTTTCACACAGCTCTGTCAACATTTCTCCTCATTCTCCAGGATCGTTCTCTGTTGTTTCAGACACGGCCTTTTCTCGAAATGGTTGATGCTTTGCATTGAGTTACCCCATTTTAGACAGTGGATTGGCAAAGTACATAAAGAGTAAATAGCAGAAAGTGACAACAAAACAGCCAGCGATCATGACCCCATTTCATTTGTTCGGAGGCTGGTTAGACAGAGAGATGCAGGGAAGGTCATGGAAAGGCTTACAGTCAACGAGGGTGCATCTACACTGTGGAGCCATTTCGTGATACTTCCAGTATCCCGAAATAGCATTTTCCGCTTCTTGACAGCACACCCATTATTTTGAAATTTAACTGAAAAAATGGGTGCGCTATTTGGACGTCCCGGTAAACCTCATTCCACGAGGATTAAGGGACTTGTTGGAATAGCGGTCTATTTCAAAATTTGGCGCCGTCTATACAGCACCAAATTTCAAAATAGACTATCTCAAATAAGCTCAAAATAAGGTACGCAATTTGCATTACTCAAATTGCGTAGCTGATTTTGAGCTAGCACCGTAGTGTAGATGAACCCTATGGAATTAAAAGCGTGGTGTCATAATTAACACCAATCAATATCATTTTCTAGTAAATGGATCTTTGTTAAACATGCTGTTTTTGGAATGGATTTCAAGTTTGCTTGAGAAAGGGGGTTGTGTTGACAAAATATATTTAGGTTTCTGTAGGGGATTCGACTTAGCCCTGCATGATACTCTGATAAGGAAAAAAAACAGACTTGTAGCACTCAAGACAGGAATCATCTTCCCGGAGGTTTCTTGCATTAAAAAAAAATGAATAATGGTTTGAAGTTGAAGCTAGATAAATTCAGACTTGAAATAAGTCCTTGATGTTTCGACAATGAGGAGAATTAATTATTCGCACCCCTTAACTGGGGAATTCTCCATCCCACGAAGTCTTTAAATCAAGACTGGGTGTCTTTAAAAAAAGAACACAACATATGCTGTAGCTCAAATGAAAGTTATGGTCTCAATGACAAAATTATTGGGGAGATTCTATAGGCCCAATGAGCGGATCATAATTGTTCCCTCTGGCCTTAAAAAAAAATCTGTGAATTAGAATGCGTGTTAAATTCATTGTCAAAAAGATGTCCATCCATTTTACACCAAACCCCTTAATGAAGTCCCTTATGGGTGTGCTGCAGTATTAAATATAGAGCTTTGCTCAGGTCTCATGCACAATGGGCTTTTTTTTTTGCACCACTTGCAAATAATCATACCGTGCCTGACTGGGCTGTGAGCTTGGACAGTCTCTAAACAATCAAGTAGCAAAATAGCAACTTAGGATATGAGGGTCTGCACCTTTAAGAAAGAGGAAAATACCCTTCAAAATGCAAAGTGCATAGTTGCAACCCTTAGCAGGATATCCTAAACCTAGACCAAGGAGCACCTCTTATCCCCAGCCTTATCCAGCTCCGCTCCTAAGCAAAAAGCAGGGAAGGCTTCTTAACTCACTTGCTGGTTTGTGATTGGACAATATTTCCTCCCCCTGTAGGCGTTTAGAGGACTGAGTTGCTGCATGACCAGTCTGATTGATTTTTCATTGAGTGGGGAGGGCCAGGCACTGATGCCCCCAGCACGGGGTGGAAAAGGCCTAGCAGGCTCTGTCACGGGGACTTTGACCACTTTCACTTTTTTACAACAATTTTGAGTCAATGAATTCGAATCCTAGGGTTGGAAGGGACCTCAGGAGGTCATTCAAGTCCAACCCCAGCTAAATCCTCCCAGCCAGGGCTTTGTCAAGACGGGACTTAAAACCTCTAGGGATGAAGATTCCACCACATTCCTAGGGAACCCATTCTAGTGCTTCACCCCCCCTCCTAGGGAAATAGTTTTTCCTAATATCCAGTGCTTTTTTGTGACAGTAGTACCCAGTACGGGCACCTCCAGTCAGAGCTTACCTGGAAAGAGCTGAGCATACCAGCACCTCTGTAATGAAAATGGTCGACAGTCTGCATCTCTTAAAATGGCAATGCTGGCCCCACTGCTTTTTTTTTTTTTTGCTCAACATACTTTTTTTTTTAAAAACAAAAAAGCACTGCTAATATCCAACCTAGATCTCCCTCCACTGCAACTTGAGACCATTGCTCCTCATTCTGCCATCTGTCACCGAGAACAGTCTCTCTCCATCTTCGCAGGAAACCCCCCGTTAGGTAGTTCAAGGCTGCTCTCAAGGCCCCTCACTCCTCTCTTCGGCAGACCAAACAAGCCCAAATCCTTCAGCCTTCCTCATAAATCATGTGCTCCAGCCCCCTCATCATTTTTGTTGCACTCATTGAACTTTCTCCAATGCATCCACATCCTTTCTGTAATAGGGAGCCCAGAATTGGACACAATCCTCCAGATGTGGCCTCACAGTTTAATCAAAACTGACTTTCCTGCTAAGTTTCGGTTGCAGTGAATTGGCCTTTTTCAACAACCACCACCTTTGTCAAAATATTCTTGCCCTGCCTTAAACCAGACTAACCCCTCCCCAGAACCCCCACCACCGATTGCCTCTTGGAAATTCTGGTTTGGGTCCTACAGGTATTTCTATGTAAGTTGGATTTTTGTTGCCAGCATATATTTTATTCATTATTAAACTCTCAATAAAGTTACAGCTGGTGCTGAAGTTAAATTGTGCACATCACTTTGACGGCAACAATAAAACGTGTCTATACTGGGATTTGAAGTTGAAAAAATTCACTTATATTTATAGATGACATAAAATTCCTCTTAGCATTGCATGCTTAATGGATTACTTCGTTTTGTTTTAAAGACATAAAACATGCATGTCTACAA